GAGGCAACTTGGCTCGCCCCGAGAACGTGGCGGATCCACTCTCGGTGGCATCATGTTCCAAAGCATGATAGATCTGCAACGTCAAACTAGTGACGTTAACTTAGCGCTGATTGGGAGGCAACCCAACAGAGGTTTGTTTTCTTTTTCTTGTTTTCGTGTTTGTGTTGAGTGAAGAGTTTAAGTGGTCGAGTGGTATACCCGTGCCAAGTTTGGTGGTTTTGCGTTTTAGGTTGTGATCGTTAGGAGGCATGATGGAATAGGTTGAGTAAAAATCTTCTCAGAAGTGCCTTGTTTTCACTCGAGTTCACAGACAGATTTGAGTGTTCATGGTCTTAAAAGACCGTGAACAAGCAAACGAGTCCGTGAACCAAGCACTTCTGCATGTGAACCACCTTTCGACTAACCTGATATGATCCCAATTGGCCAGCTCTACACGTTTAAAATACTTAACAAAGAAGCTAACGAAGTTGGGAAGAAGAAGGGCAGAATTTGGCTAAGTCAAAATCCGTGTTCAGGGTACATACTTTTGGAGGCATGGTTCTCTCAATTGGCTTGGTGGAAATTCAAGTTTGAGGATTTCTTTTGCATATAAAGTTTCCATCTATCCAATGGTATGCTTTTTGTATCCAGAAGATGTAATAAAGGTTGTTTTCCAAGGCCTCAAAGTTGCTACCTCAAAACTGGAAAACTGCCAGAAAATGACCAAGGCAGAAAACTGTTCTGTGAAGCCTACTTTGGAGATCAATTCAAGGATCATGGATAGGATTCAAGTAGAAATGCTTCCACAAAATGAAACTAGGTATGTTTGTGAACAATGGGAAGGAATTGGATGAAGAATTGGAGTTTGGGAAGGCCTCGAACAGAAGGCGTAAAGTTAGTACGAAAGCTTCCTTTTGACTGTTTTGCTGGCAGCTTACTTGTGCATCAAGAAAGGGAGTTTAAACCCGAACTTTTGTGTCATTTTTAGTGTATTCTTTTACCTTAATTGTTGCCTAGCTCTATTATGATTGTATTAGGTTTATTTGCCTTTAAATATCTTCTATTTCGTTGTAAATTGAGACTTTGATTAATCGAAAAACAAACCTTTTGGTTTTGTGCAAGTTGCGACTTATTTTGGGTTTGGTGGATTCCAAACTTGCTGAGCTTGTGTATCGATTGAATAGTCACTTCAATCGTGGTCGAGCAACTACCCTTTTATACCAATCGAGCTATCCCCAGGTGTGGATTTGACCTTTTGGTTCCGTTTTATCCAAGTTCGTATTAAGAACGCTTCGTTCTTGATTCGAGCTCAATCGATTCTTCGATTGAGTCGTTAGCTGCGTGACTTTGATAATATACACCCCCAGGGGCGTATTAAGTGGTATCAGATCCCCTTTCAAGTCAGTGGCGAGAAGGATTGGTCGAGGCTATATTCGTCGAATTAAATCGCAAAAAAAAAAAAAAGCAGAGGAAGGCAGAGTAACAATAGTGGCAGCATAGTTAGCCAATTCCATGATCTTCACGCGTTGCTTAATCGAGGAGCAGCTGTGTTTAGTTCTCGTGGATGGAGGCAAGGAGAGGAATTTGATTTCCTCTCGAGTTGTGAGCAAGCTAGGGCTGCAAACGCAGATGATTCCGAAGCCCTATGTTTTCGAATCACCATACGAAAACAGATTCGGCATCGTAGTATCTCAGGTAAATGTGAAGTTTTTGATAGGCCACTACGAGGATCATATTACGTGTGATGTGATATATAACCTCCCCAGCAGCATCGTATTGGGACAGCCATGGTTCAGAGATCATCAAGTTTTCTTTGTAAGTCGATGGAGCAAGAAGTTTTGACTCTGGAGTCAAAACAAAGTGTTCGTTGTGAACCCTTTGGCTCCAGAAGCAGCAATCAATGACTTGAAGGCGCTGCAACGAATCCAGGAGGAGTATCAAAGGGAGCTGCTGGCAAAACCATGGTCGTGGAAGTCCAATTCAGCCAAAACGTCGGCTAGAGAAGGAAGCTGTTGATGTGACTTGAATCGGACTATCAGCCACTACGACTGGTAGTCGGGGGTCTCGCTGGGCTCACACAGTGAACATGGTGTGCTTCCTGATCAACCGTGGACCTCACACAGGTATCGAGTTGAAGACTCCTTATGAGGTGTGGTATGGTAAGCCGGCTGATTACTCTTCACTGAAAGTTTTTGGGTGTCCTGTTTATTATCATGTGGATGAGGGTAAACTGAACCCAATGGCAAAGAAGGGTGTATTTGTGGGTTACGGAGATGGAGTTAAGGGATTTCGAGTCTGGTCACCTTCTGAGCATTGAGTTATACTCAGTAGAAATGTGATATTTGATGAGAAGTCTATGTTTAACACCATGTTGAAGGTTACTGTTGTTGAAGGTAGCAGGAATGTTGATAAGCAGGTGGAGCCGCAAACTCTCAAAGAGAGTGAGTTTGAGCACCAAGGTGGAGAAGATCAACATGATGAGGATGTCTCTGCAGAGCCAAAAACTTCTGAGTCCAGTACAGGAGTTCAACAGTCTATAGCTTCCGGTAGACCAAAGAGAGCGACTGCAGGAGTACCTCCAGAGAGGTATGGTTTCGAGGACATGGTGGCGTACTCATTTCAGGTTGCTGAAGAAGTGGATGCAGGTGAGCCACAGTCCTATAGAGAAGCCGTTTCGGGTGGCGAAGCTGATCAGTGGCTTGCCGCAATGGGAGATGTGATGGAATCCCATGACAGGAATCAGACTTGGGAGCTAGTCAAACGACCACAGGGAAGGAAGATTGTTACAAACAAGTGGATCTACAAGAAGAAGGAAGGAATCACTTCTAAAGAGGGCATGAAATTTAAAGCTTGGGTGGTTGCACGAGGCTTCTCGCAGAGGGAAGGAGTTGACTACAATGAGATTTTCTCACCAGTGGTCAGACATACTTCGATCAGAGTGCTGCTAGCAATAGTGGCACATTATGACTTGGAGCTCGAGCAACTAGACGTGAAGACAGCTTTCCTACATGGAGAGTTGGAGGAAGAAATTTACATGACTCAGCCAGAAGGATTCGAGGTTCCGGGAAAAGAAGACTATGTTTGTAAGCTGAAGAAGTCCTTGTATGGACTTAAGCAGTCTCCGAGGCAGTGGTGTAAGAGATTTGACAGTTACATGCTAGAGCTAGGCTACAGCAGAATCCATATGATTGTTGTGTGTATCACAACAAGGTGGAGGATGGTTCGATGATCTATCTTGTTCTGTATGGGGATGATATGCTCATAGCTGCGAGGTCAAAGTCTGATATCCAGAAGTTAAAGGGGCTTCTCAGTGCTGAGTTTGAGATGAAGGATTTTGGAGATGCTCAGAAGATCTTGTGTATAGAGATTTACAGGGATAGGTCGAAGAAGAAGCTTTTCTTGTCACAGAAGAGCTACATCTAGAAGATATTGTCGAGGTTTGGCATGTCTTCAGCAAAGCCCTTAAATACTCCTAGTGCTTAAAATGTTCATCTATCCTCAACTTATGCACCGCAGTCAGAGGATGAGAAGGAGTACATGTCAAGATTCCCATATGCTAGTGCAGTAGGTAGCTTGATGTACGCTATGGTATGCACTAGACCTGATCTTGCACATGCTGTTAGTGTTGTCAGCAGGTTTATGATACAACCTGGGAAGGAGCATTGGCAGGTTGTGAAGAGGATCTTCTGGTACCTTAAGGGTACAACTGATGTGGGGATTAGCTTCGGAAGTGATACAGAGTGCTTGGTGTCTGGGTATTCTGACTCGGACTATGCTGGAGATGTTGACACGAGGAGATCGATGACCGGTTATGTATTCACTCTTGGGAGTTCTGTAGTGAGCTGGAAGGCAACTTTGCAGTCGGCGCTGACATTGTCTACTACTGAGGCAGAGTATATGGCCTTGATAGAAGATGCTGGTAAGGAAGGAATATGGTTGAAGGGACTGGTTGGTGATCTAGGTCTACATATTGCGACAGTTTGATTGCAACATGCTTGGCCAAAGATCAGGTCCACCATGAGAGGACTAAGCACATCAACGTGAGGTATCATTTCTTGAGGGCAGAGAAGAGGATTAAGGTGAAGAAGGTTGGCACCGCGGATAATCCTGCTGATATGTTCACGAAGCCAGTTTCACATGGCAAGTTCCAACACTGCTTGGACTTGCTGAATGTCTTGAGTGGGTGACTCCGCCTTGCGGGGCATTGATGGCGGGAGAGAGAGAGAAGGAGCAGAGTATATCAGAGATTTCAGAGGAAGAGGATTCAAGTCAAGGTGGAGATTTGTTGATGTGACTTGAATCAGACTATCAGCCGCTATGGTGTATGGGCTCAATGTTATTTGGGTTCGGGTTCTGGGCATGGTCTGTAATCGTTTCCTTTGCCAGATTGGATTAGGTTTAGACCCAAATGGAGAAGTACTATAAATACTTCTCATACTCCTCTGTAATCTATAATCTCCTCGATATAGTGAAACTAGCTCTCTCTCGCCTGTGGACGTAGCTAACACACATCGTGTTAGTGATAAACGTAAATCGTGTGTCTGTGTTTTTTGATTCTCGCTTTCGTATTCTTGCTTTATCGATTTCGGCGATTTCCCGATCCGTAGCAGCGCGTTTATAACAGAAGCCTTTGTTCGTCGATGGCAGAGCAACGCAGAGACGAGAAAGGATTGGGCAACGACGTGGGGAAGCATTTGAGAAAAAACAATGATTCAGAAGCCTCTGTTGACACCCCATAATTGAATTGGAAGGAAGGAACTGGATCGATTCAAGCTGAAGCGCTGATTTCAATTCCTTCTGAACACTCCTGTTTTTTTACGGCAATGCAGGGGAAGAGAGAGAGCGAATTCGGTGGAGGAATCGGCGAAGCTTTGAGCCAATCCAATAACGTCAACATGTTATCTATGACCCCAGAAATCTCGGACGTAGCTGCAACGGAAGTAAGTATATTCGAAATCCCAGAATCAATTTTGGGAAAATCTCCTCTGTTGAGTGCGACGAACAGAGACGAGGACTCCTCCATGGATAGAGCCATCCAGCGTACTTCGAGTCCTGTCGTCGCCTCGATCGTGTTACAGGAGGCTCCTAGGATGAACTCAATAGCGGGGATTGGTCTAAAACAGGCCAACTCGACGAATCATGATTTGTGTATTCCTCCCCTGAAACCAGAGCAAGGTGACGCGAAAAATCATGAATGGGTTGGGGCAGTGGAGGAGGCTTCGAGCCAAATTGGAACCATGGGAGAGTTCCTGGAGGTTTCAGGAACGTGTGGCGGCCCTCAATTCGACTCGACGCTGCGGAAATAAAAAAAACGCCCAAAATCAAATTGGACGTTCTGGGTTTGGGGAATTTGAGTTCCTACGACGGCGGGAAAAACCCAGATGACGATTCGACGCGTTCCAGAAACAATCGAGGATGGGAATCAATCGGGATGTATAATTCAATGATGGAGCAAGCTGATTCGAGCAGTAGATTGCAGATTGGAGGCTCGAATCCTTGTCGTTCAACTTTCGACGACTTCCCCGAGTTCCTCGCAAAGCTAGGAAGTATAGTGAAGGTCCTGGCCACGTTCTCAAGGCTGATCATCGTCGATATTGATCATAGAGGCGATGTATTTTATCAAATTGCTTTCTTCCGCACGAAATCATTACTAAATGGCAACAAGGATGAAGGCAGTGAGGATTTGAAGAACAGTGAAGAACGTTTGGGATGCACTTTTGAAGACCCATTTTGGGTACCCTCTGATCATATTTTGGCTTGCAAAATCATACAAGCTTTGAGGTCAAAGCTTTTTGAAGAGGGGGAGCCTGATATGATCCCAATTGGCCAACTCTACACGTTTAAATTACTTGACGAAGAAGCTAACGAAGTTGGGAGGAAGAAGGGCAGAATTTGGCTAAGTCAAAATCCGTGTTCAGGGTACATACTTTGGAGGCATGGTTCTCTCAATTGGCTTAGTGGAAATTCAAGTTTAAGGATTAGTTTTGCAGATAAAGTTCCCATCTATCCAATGGTATGCTTTGTGTATCCAGAAGATGTAATAAAGGTTGTTTTCCAAGGCCTCAAAGTTGCTACCTCAAAACTGTAAAACTGCCAGAAAATGACTAAGGCAGAAAACTGTTCTGTGATGCCTACTTTGGAGCTCAATTCAAAGAGCATGGATAAGATTCAAGTCAAAAAGCTTCCATAACCTGAAACTAGGTATGTTTGTGAACAAAGGGAAGGAATTGGATGAATAATTGGAGTTCGGGAAGGCCTTGAACAGAAGGCATAAATTTAGTACGAAAGGTGCCTTTTGACTGTTTTGCTGGCAGCTTACTTGTGCGTCAAGAAAGGGAGTTTAAACCCGAATTTTTGTGTCCTTTTTAGTGTAGACTTTTACCTTAATTGTTGCCTAGCTCTATTAGGATTTTATTAGGTTTATTTGCCTTTAAATACCTTCTATTTCGTTGTAAAATGACACTTTGATTAATCGAAAAACAAACCTTTTGGTTTTGTGCAAGTTACGACTTGTTTTGGGTTTGGTGGATTCCAAACTTGCTGAGCTTGTGTATCGATTGAATAGTCACTTCAATCGTGGTCGAGAAACTACCCTTTTATACCAATCGAGCTATCCCCAGGTGTGGATTTGTCATTTTGGTTCCGTTTTATCCAAGTTCGTATTAAGAACGCTTCGTTCTTGATTCGAGCTCAATCGATTCTTTGATTGAGTCGTTAGCTGTGTGACTTTGATATTATACACCCCCAGGGGCGTATTATAACCCTAGTTCACGGTCTCTAAGACCGTGAACAAGCCAACGCGTCCGTGAATGCCATGCTTCGGCTATAAAAAGGGGCTTGAACGGTGACTCTTTAGTTCACGACCCAAAACCAACCGGAAAATTCAAATTCTCGCGAGAAAACCGCAAACAATCCGACGGTTTTTCATTTTTTCAGACATTTCCGGCGAGAAAAACCCAAAACCAACTGCATACCCATTCCCCTCATCAAAACCAGCCTGTGCTGCAATTTTGGAAAGATTTGGGGCAAGTTTTTTCCGACAAAGTCGCCGGCGGCGAGTTTCCGACGAACCTACAACGACCACTCTCCGGTTTGTTATTCAGCCGTTTTTCGCCTTTCTCACCCGCACCTTGGTTCCACCTACGTCCTACTTGAGTCTCCAGGTTGGTTTTTCAGCTCTACTTTGTTTAATTTGGGAGAATTGGATTAGGTAGTGAAGTGAGGATGATTTTGTAGTGCATTGAATGTTGAACCTAGAATTAGGGCGAGGAATTAGGTGAATTAGGTTGATTGAATGTTTAAATGTTGTTGCTTAAGCTTAGTTGAGCCTTGGTGGGCATTTGGTGATTCGAATTGCTTTTATTTATCGATTTTGCCCACCAAGTGCTCATTGTTGAATGGAAATTGGTGGATGTATTTTAATGGTGGTTGGTAACCACCGTGACATGGGTTGGGGTTCGAATCCTTTTTGTTGATGAACCTTGAAATACCCAAAACCATGCCACAGTGGGTTGAGCTTAAATGTTTGAATTCCATAGTGGAAATAGGTGGGGGTTGGGGGGGGGGGATTTCTTTTTCCTCCCAATGAGTTGTGCTTAACGAATAATTCCATGTATGGTGTTTGTTTGCCAATTTTTGCAGGATTCTTAACGAGGGGCATGTGTTCATCAGTTACCTAGTGAACCATCTGCGGTTTGGCGATAAGTTTGCCTACCAGAAGGACAGCCTGGTTGGGCCACACTGGTGGCTGGACCTGGACATGTTCAACATGTTTAGATGTCGAGCCGCAATGTCGGGGGTCTTCTGTCACCCCCAATGCCGCTGACTGCTCACATTGGACGAGCACATCTATCACGAGCTGTGTGTGAAGTTCTACTCCACGTTCGCCCATGTGGTCTTGAGCGGCAAGAGGAACCGCCCGTACGTGGAGTTTATGCTGGGATGTCAGCCCCGAGTGCTGACCTATGACGCCTTCACCCAGGCCATGGGGCTTGACCCGACGCATAGGACGATGACGGAACAGCAGTACCCCGCCGATTTTCACTATCACGCCACTATCGTATTATGTTGTGTAATAACCTCACCTTGAGCAATTCGTATTGTGTTTGTGTGTTTGTTTTTTGTCTTTTCCTTGAAGCTCCAAATCTCCTACCCCGGAAACAAATCCAACTTTCATTCACCAAGCAAAGCGGTAACGTCGTTCTATCCCTATCTTACACCATTGAGGGCAATGTCGAGCTTAAGTGTGGGGGTAGTCTACTTTTATGCTTGTGTGAGTGTGATTGATGCTTGGAGCTTTGATTTATGCCCAAATTTGAAAATTTTGCGAGCTCCAAGCAATGTTTGCATGATCAAAGTGGCCGATTTGTAGGAGAGTCTTGTGGTTATTGGCATTGACCTTGAATTCTTGCATGTGATCGAGTATGTCCTATGATGATGATTGAGAGGTGCACTAGGATAGTGCAAACATTTAGTTCTCATGTGTGAAAAAATAAATGGATGTTTTGACTCTATTACTTGTTGATTACAATTGCCATGCATGTTGCTTTGTGAATTGGAATAGATGGTTGGGTGACTAGGTAGCCTTGTGAGCTTTGAGCCGATCGTTTTCTTCTTGTGTGCTTAGATCCCTCTTACCATGGCGAGAAACATCACACTTTTCACTAGTGAGTATGATGGGGGCATAGGATTAGTCCACGCCCAAATGTTGATTGCCCAAAATGAATTATCCACTAGTCAACCCCTTTAAGCCTTGTGACTTTGGGGGTCGTTCTTATGTTAGGAGCTTTTTGCTTGTGAGCTTAATGGTGTTAATAGAACGACCCCCCCCCCCCCCCCATCCTTTCTTCGTGACTATACATGTGTCATCCTTGTGTCCCGGAGCTCTCTCTTTTGAGTTCCATTGAGGTTCTATATAGGAGGATTGAGTGCGGTTCTTGCTAGGATCGAAAGTGAAAGAAAGAGTAGCGTTGGAGCGAGTTCTTAGAAAAAAAGAGCATTGATCGTTAAAAGTAGTGTGGCAAATGTTTAACTCTCTAGTACCCCCCTCAAAAAGAAAAGAAAAAGAAAGAGAAACGAAAAAGAGGTAATAAAACGGGGTAAATGAAGTAGAGAGTGCCACAATGAATCAAAGAGTATGCTCTAGGTGAGGTTTATTGGCACACAAGCCATTGAAACCTACACATTGTCTTAGGACTCCTTCACTACAAAATCAAAGTGTGATATCAAGAGTATACCGAGGTATAGTGATTAAGGGGAGTTCATGATGGGTGATAGTTGGAAGTGAGAAGCAAGGTTATTGGCCGATGCTAATGGCTGTTGTTTGTAAGGAAGGTTCTTAGTCGAAACCATAGAACCTTCGGTTTTAGGGTGAAGATGTAGGACTTCATGATGTGTTTGCCACCACCCAAAAAGCCTTTTCCCCATGTCTAAGACAATCGCCAGTCATTTGAACTCGTGTCTAAGACCTCCGGACAATCTAGTGATGACAACCATTCCCTGAACTCTAGCATTTAGAGGTTGCCACCATGGTGTTGAGACGATAGGGCCGGGAGTTGATGATTGTGCACATTTTTTGCACCAAAAGGTCCCGACCCCACTGGTCAAGAGAGTGAGTGTTAATTCTTGTTTTGTATGTCATATCATACCCCAATGAGGACCTTTGTTGCCCATCTGTTTGTTCCTAGGACTTGAACTCTATGCATGGTTAGTTGTGGTTGGTAAGTGATCTTGTTGAAACTTGCATTGATTCATGAACAAGGTGAGAAATTTTCATTTGCCCGTTTCTAGTAGCCTCGACTGTCATTCGTGGTGGATGTCGGTATTTCTTGCAACGGTCCTTGTGTTAATTGCCAGTAGCCATTTAAGATTCGCCACTTTGTGCCCTTTGAAATGTTCCCAAAGATTTTTGGTAGGTTGAGTTTTTTTACCTTGTGTAAAATGGTTTGCCTGGGGAAAAGCAAACGTCTAAGTGTGGGGGAGTGATTCGGGCCTAATTGCAAACATTTTATCCCCGTTTCCCTTGGGAGTTTGAAGCATTTGAACTCCTAAAGTGTGTTTAAGGATCCAACAGGTGAAACCAGCCCCGGAGTCGAAAGTTGGACGAAAAGAGGCGAAGACCGGGCAAAGAGGGTGATCTAGGCGGAGTGCACGGGTTAGCATTGGAGTTCACGGTCCCCTATGGCCGTGAACAGAAGCCCAAAACCGTGAATCGCGATGCGTCCAGGGAGAAATCTGTAGTTACTGAAGCTAGACGAGTTCACGGTCAACAAGATCGTGAAGATCGAGGCCAAACCGTGAACTCCTGATGGCGAAGCTGTATGTTTCAACATCGTGCTATGTGTTCACGGATGCGTTGAAGAGTTCACAGTCGTGAACTGAGCCCGATCCTGGTATATAATGTGAGCTAAAATAAAGAGAGGGAGGGAGCCCAAGTGTGAGAAAGTGTCTTCTTCTTCATATTTTAGAGAGAAAAAGGAAGAACCAAGGAAGAAGGAAGGCTAGGGTTTGCTCCAAGTGGTGAATTGGGAAGAATCTCCCCAAGAGAAGATCAACACAAGCTTAGAGGAGATTGGAGGGATCTCCATGATGGTTTCTACCTCTTCCTCTTGTGTTCTTCCCCTTTCTAACATGGAGTAGTACTCTTTTTCACTTGGGTGTTGTGAAACCCTAACTATTTGCCATGTAGTTGTAGTGTGACTTGATTGATTGTTTATGGGTGTGGTTTAAATAATGATTGAGGTATTTTCATGATGATTGTGCATGTGTGTGCTTAGCAATCTAATTGTCCATTCTAACCTAGGTTAGAGTGGAAACCCCCCTTTCCAAAAGAGGCTCAATTGAGTTGGGATTCCTTGTGACTTGAATGATTGTTTATGAGTGTGGTTTAAATAATGATTGAGGTATTTTTCATGATGATTGTGCATGTGTGTGCTTAGCAATCTAATTGTCAATTCTAACCTAGGTTAGAATGGAAACCCCCTTTCCAAAAGAGGCTCAATTGAGTTGGGATTCCTTGGGCTTGACAAGCCAATTACCTAAGTTAATATAGGGCAAACCTCTACCTTGAGTTAAGCAACTAGGTTAATCATGACTAAGTCGTCCAACCATTGGTTTGAGGGAGAAGGTAAGTCAACCCTTAATTGCCTTAACCAAGAGGGCTACTCTTGTAGCCTATAATGTGTCCCTTGTTTTGTCAATTAAGAGTGTGGTCCTCGACCATAGTTGCACCTCCTAGTGGTTCATGATTTCCTTGCCCATAACGTCCCATTCGAGTCCACGTGCCATGGTAGCAGTTAGGAGGAACGACACCCGAGTGATCCTTCTCATCTAGAGCTTTCAAGCCATTTACCTTTGCTTTGTTTTGATTTAAAACTCATAGTTTTCAAGCAAAAAACCAATTCGCTAGATAATGCTCAAAGCAAAGAAAGTAGGGGTACACGGGTTATGCCCGGGTTGATATTTAAACATATTTGCCCTATATTGCACCAATCTAATGTTTATACTTGGGCCGTAGGTGGAAAATTATTGTGATATTCAGGACGAGTCAAAATCCAAATTCCTAGCCCTTGCGGCGGCTGGAAAAGAAGCAGAATGGTTAAGAAACATGTTGTTAGATATAGAGTTGTGGCCACAACTGATGCCATCTATTTCTGTCTTTTGTGATAGTGAGGCTACATTGTCTAGAGCTTATAACAAGATGTACAATGGTAAGTGTAGACACATTATCCAAAGACATGATTAAGTTAGATATTTGATTACTAATGGAATCATTTCTATTGTGTATGTAAGGTCTTGCAACAATTTGGCAGATCCTCTTACGAAGGGATTGCCAAAAGGCATGATCTATGAGACATCCAAAGGGATGGGATTGAGACCTTTTGTATAGTTAGAAGTAATGGAAACCCAACCATTTCTTCAGGTATTCACTAATTAAAAGGTTCAATGTGGTAATAACAAGTTACTCTAATTGGGAACTAATTAATTGGGAACTAATTAATGACGTTCGTTTGGAATGTCACCTATGCGAGCATTTGGAGTGGTGCCGCTCTAACAAAAGTAAAGGTTCACTTTTGTATATGCTCATGAAACAGGATCACACATGGCCATAATAGTGCTACCCTCGTTGGTGGTTGTGTTTTAGAGAAGAGACAAGAACGTGTGTGGTATCTCCGGTTCTAGCTTTAAATCTTGACTCCTAGCCTTAAGCCTGTCTTTGATTCGCTATGAACTTTGAGATGATTACACTAGGTAAAGGTTCAAATCGAAAAGATAACTTTATGTATGCGTTACTTGTTCGAGGCATGTTTTCTCAAATCTTGTTGTCTTGGTGGGGGATTGTTAGAGTAGTCAACAGAGTTAAAGGAAATACAGCATTGGTGGGAGAAGGAAAGTGCAAGTATTTTTTAAGTTTGCTTCCCACTTTATTTATTGAATAAAGTGGTTAGTGGGTTATTGGGAAAATTGTGTGCTATTTGATTTGACATATTATATCGCAACGCGTTCGGATTTGAATTTTTTGCTAATTAATTATTGGAATTATTTTGATTAATTAATTCTAGATAATTAACTAATGTTTGACTTCTTTGAAACAAGGTAAACCTTCGGAAGGGAACTGTGGTTTTCATAATAAAAGGCTTCTGCAATCGGACTTCTCATCCAACGTTCATCTTCTTCCCTTTTTCCTTCTCTAGAACACAAACACAGAAGTCTAGAAAGATTGTTTCTTTCAGGCTTTGATTGAAGGGACTCCTGGGGGTGATTTGCCTAATTCCTACCAGCAATTTCGTAGTGGGAGCAAATAACACTCTAAGGAGAGTGATTAATAACGCCTTCAATATGTTTCTCCCTAAAGTTTTCCTGACACGACGAAATGTCGTTTTCCAAATCTAGAATATACCTAGGCGATGGCCATAAAAGACAACGCTCATCGAAGAAGGAGATTAAAAGATTCTCAGTTCCTTCCTCAGGAGAGCTGGACAACGAAGATTGGGGGGTTGATACCCATTTTCCATTCTTACTCGATGAAACCCAAGAGGCCTTTGCTATAGCGTGGCGTAGTCAAGATATTCCTCATATTAAAGGACGACCTGTCTCTACTCCGACGAGAGGGATATCGACAGGGTAAACCCGGTCGCCAACGGCGTCGGTTATGCAATAACGGCCAGGATCGTGATATCATGAGAATCTCACCTCCTAATTTTGGATCCTGGAGAGCGAAGAGAGGGGATCTTGTATCAACTATTTCAAAATAAAGAATAAAAAATTTTAGGGAGTGCCAACTCTTTTCCAAGTCCTAAACCGTTCCGCTGAGAAGGGTGGCCAACTTTGAATAGGACTGTTAAATCCCTCTCCTATTTAATTCCAAGCTTTGCTCCATATACTCTCACAAAATAAATCAAAAGAAGAGGGTAGCACGGCGGGAATCATCAAATCAGGGCCAGCTCAAAAGAATAACGTTTCAGGTATGCATAGAAAGATCTGAATAGATCAAGCTAAACAAACAAGATTAATGTTCTTTTTCTTGAGAATATTACTTGTTCGTTGGTCGGTTTTAGTTGGGAGTCCACTTGGCCAGTTCTTGGTCGTGATCGGCGTCTCACAACACATCAACCCTTGTACAGGTGAGTTTAGAGAGGTGATAACTAATTCTTTGTCGTCTGTTTTGTGTATGCAGCAAGTTACCATGACACACATGATGAAAGACCAGATTGTTAAGTTCTCGATGGAGGAAATCCAATCCAACGAATTCCGTAGCTCCCACACACTCCTTGGTCGGGTCATCACTGAAAACAGGATGACGACAATAGATTTACGAGAAGCCGTGGCCCGTAAACACTACTTGGCAGGGGAAGGGGCGAATCAGGGTTTTCGAGGCAAGACATGGTCTCTTTGAGTTGGTGTTCCCTACTGAGGTGTCGAAGATTTGGGTGCTGAAGGATACACCTTGGGTCATATGAAGGACGACTGTGGAAAATTGGACGAAAATGGGAGTCGAAAATTGGACGAAAAGAGGCAAAGACTGGGCAAAGAGGGTGATCCATGCGGAGTTCATAGGTTAGCATTGGAGTTCACGGTCCACTATGGTCGTGAACTGAACACAAAAACTGTGAACCGTGATGCGTCCAGTGAGAAATCCGCAGTTACTACCGTGAGTCGAGTTCACGGTCAACAAGACCGTGAAGATTGAGGCCAAACCGTGAACTCGTGATGGCGAAGCGATGTGTTTCGACATCGCGCTCTGTGTCGAAGATTTCACGGTTGTGAACTGAGCCCTATTCTTGTATATAATGTGAGCTGAAAGGAAGAGAGAGGGACAGTCCAAGAGTGAGAAAGTGTCTTCTTCTTCATATTTGTAGAGTGAAAGAACAAGCTAAGTGAGAAAGAAGGCTAGGGTTTGCTCCAAGTGGTGGATCGAAAAGATTCTCCCCAAGAGAAGATCAACACAAGCTCAAAGGAGATTGGAGGCATCACCATGATGGTTTCTACCTATTCCTCTTGTGTTCTTCCCCTTTCTACCTTGGAGTAGTTTCCTTTTTCACTTGGGTGTTGTGAAACCCTAACTATTTTCCATGTAGTTGTTGTGTGAATTGAATGATTGTTTATGGGTGTTGTTTAAATCAATGATTGACGTATTTTTCATGTTGATTGTTCATGTTTGTGCTTAGCAATCCAATTGGCCATTCTAACCTAGATTAGAGGGAAACCCCCCTTTTAAGGGAGGCTCAATTGAGTTGGGATTTCTTGGGCTTTTTAAGACACCTATCTAGGTTAGTGTAGGGAAAACCTCTATGTTGAATTAAGCAATTTGGTTAAGCGTGATTAATCCGACCAACCATTGGGTTGAGTGAGAGAGTAAGTCAACCATCGATTTCCTTAACCAAGAGGGCTACTTGAGTAGCCTATAATGTATCCCTTGGTTTGGCAAACGAGAGTGTGGTCTACGACCATAGTTGCGTTTCCTAGCGGTTCGCGGTCACCTTGCCCGTAATAATTAATTCAATTCCTCGTGCCATGGTAGTAGTTAGGGGGAAGCGACACCCGAGTGATCCTTCTCGCATAGAGCTTTCAAAACCATTTACTTTTGCCTTGCCTTACTTTAATTAGCAAACTTTTCAACCAAAACCGATTCGCTAGATAATGTTTCAAACAATTGAAGTAGGGGTACAAGGACTGGCCCGAGTCGATATTTAAACATACTTGCCGTGTATTGCACCCTACTAAGTTTTAGAATTGGAAGTTAGGCGGGAATTAATTGTGATATTCGAGATGAGTCAATGCATGTATCAATAGTGTTTTCTTTCCACTCTTCTTTGTGTTGCTAGTCGATCTATTTAGGGATGCTAATTTTATGATGATTGTGTATTACTTTCTATGTGTTAATAAGATGCTCAATTTGTTCTTCACTTTGGTCATCAATGCTTGTTGCTTTAGGTGCTTTTTCGAATGCATGCTTTAATCATCTGTTGCTTATGACCATCAATGCTCTTTAGGTATGATGTTTTGATTCATCTATGTGTGTGAGACTATGATGATGTTATCATAGTATCGTGTTTATACTACTACTATTATCGTAAATGAGGAAACTAATCTCGTATAGTAGGCATCCTTCTTATGTGTGTATAGGAGGATTAGCTACCCTTCTATGCATGACTAAGGATGATGCTTGATTCTGAGATCATTGATGCTATATACTAGATTTATGGTTAGTAAAAGCCCACAATCAACGATATGATATCCTAACGCAAGAGGCGCGTGCACAGGTAGAGAGTATTCTTAGAGGAAGGGATAGGGCATCATAATTGATGATGCATAAATATATCTTATCGAGGAGATAGTATGCATGACCATATAGAAGGAGCTACCCAAACAATACTTTGTTGCTTGCATTCTTGTTTGTTAATTGCATTAGTGCTATAGTACACGAGTAGATGGCAACTCAGCCCAACTATTTTACTTTCTCTTACATAGCATAATTGACATGCTAAAACACAACACCAAACTGCGACCAAGTGTAATTGCAGTCCAGAAATGCAGAATAGTGGCAAGTTCTATTTATCAACCCAGGTTCTAGATCTACTGTCTACTCTATGACTAACTGTTATCTAGCGGGCCTAAGTGTACTGAGAGTGATTGCAAACAAAAGCAGGAAATGGTTCGAAGTTCTTAAGCAAGGAAGAGTCACTCGGGAATGAGTCTCCTTAGCTCCTTAGTTAGGCCAAAGTTGTAATTACCTTTGGTTGATTCACTGTTGATTAAACTGCGGAAGATCCGACAGTAGCTTGGAATCTCTTAAGTTGACCAAGCCCTCTCAAACAGACTACCCGACAGACGCTAGTCTTCACTGGGATAGAACGCTGAGGCAATTACCACAAAACTCCAGTACTGGATTTAGATTCCAGTACAAAGCAGGGAATCGACTATCTCTCGTATAATCGATTCACTACTACCGATTGAAGAAGCTCTAACAACCTAACCGGATTCTATCTATCTCAGGTTGCAGCAGAAATCAAGAAAAGATGATCAGGCTCAATGGTGAAAAATCGACTCCAAATAATGGGAAGAATCTGCTCTCGGATGTCAATCTTCAGTACTCGGGATGCAATCTGGGCTTCAATGGTGAGAAATCCACTCCAAATAGCTCATAGGATTTGTTCTTAGCACTTTCTCTCTCTAGAACTCTGTTTTCTGCTCAAAAGGTCATGTCCCTATCCTTTAGCTCGAATCTGCCTAAAAACCCGACTCTGCGCGAAATACGGGCTGGAATACGGTCCTAATTCTTCCCTGCCCGTATTTTTTCCAAAACGCGCATTTTGGTTATGTCTCAGCTCATCCAATGCTCCTCTCGGCACTAAAAATACGAGCATGGGAGGGAAAAATATGGTCGTATTTCTTCTGCTCGTATTTCTTCCTTCGCTCTTGTTTAATGCTTCGTTTCGCCTTCAACCCGACTCTGAATCTGTGGCCGTTTGATCCCAAACGCTCGTAGTCTCGTCCTCTTTCTTTTCATGACAAGATTCCATGATTATTTTTCTATAATATGAGGTAGAAATTTATTCTTCCTCAGGTAATGCTCGAGTTTCTTCTCTCGAATGACCAAACGATCTCCAAAAGACCTGGAACTTGCGCCTATGCATCTCTTTATTCGCTAGGACATGAAAAATGGCAAAATAACACAACCTAGCGTTAAATAGGCCAAGACACCACAAATTTGAGCCAAAACGGTTAAGAAACAAGGGTGCAAACATGTGCAAATACGACGCTATCAAATTCCCCCACACTTAACCGTTTTCTTGTCCCCAAGCAAACCAAGTCAGATATAAGGGGATCTCAAAACATTTTAATCATGCGAACTTTGGGGACATATCATATAGGCACAAAACACGGGAATAATACTGGCTTTTGATCATTAACACATGGACAACTTCAACAGCAACCCGGACAACCACCACAGAGGACATTCGAGTGCAACAAAATCGGAAAGGAAGAGTCTCTCTTCTGTTCACCAACCAGCATAGACTAGACTCAACCACTTATACAAGACAGTCACCTCATGCATAAAACTCAAGATATCAGAATTAAGACCGAGCACTCTAGGTCCTCACCGGGGTAAAGAGTTTAGAGAATATAAGAAAACGAATCGCTCACTCTCGACCAGTGGGGTCAGGACAAATTTGATGCAAGATGTGCATACTCGTACTCTCAATCGCTAACGTCTCTTCACCATGACGACATCCTCTAAATGTTAGAGTTCACATATCGGTGTCACCAGTAACTAATCCGAAGGTCTTAGGCACAGGTTCAGATGACTGGCTAGGGTCTTGGACATGGGGAAAAGGCCTTTTAGGTGGTGGAAGTATTAATAACATAAGGTTCCACAGTTCCAAGCCAAACAAACTCATAGTCATTCACACCACTTATTTTCTTCCTGCCATTCTGCATTAATCAAGTTCTTCTTTAGAACACAAGAGCGAAGGAGGTCACTATAATGTTAGTATTTCTAAGCCAAATGCTAAGAAACACTACTTAATGAACATGATTCGGATTTTTGGTAGTTGCTCACTTTAGCTTTCATTCATTTTTTCTTCTTTTTTTCATTTCTTGAGAGAACCACCACCTCTGCACATTTTTCAAACAAATGCCCAACTTTTAAGAACTACCTCTCGGAAATGGTTCGAAGTTCTTAAGCAAGGGAAGATTCACTCGGGAATGAGTCCCCCTAACTCCTTAGTTAGGTCAAAGTTGTAATTACCTTTGGTTGATTCACTGTTGATTAAACTGCGGAAGATTCGACAGTAGTTTTGAATCTCTTAAGTTGACCAAGCCCTCTCAGACAGACTACCCTGCAGACGACTAGTCTTAACCGGGATTGAACGCTGAGGCAATGAAACTCCACTACTGGAATTGAATTCCAGTACAAATCAGCGAATCAACTAACTCTCGTATAATCGATTCATTACTATCGATTGAAAAAGCTCTAACAACATAACCATATTCTATCTATCTCAGGTTGCAGCAGAAATCAAGAAAAGATGATCAGGCATCAATTGACTCAATAAAACATATGCCTCAATCGATTATAACCAAGCAGTATATCAATCCAAACGTCATTACAATCTATATCCCTAACACATGGGACTAGGGTTCTTCATACCCAAGTGAGAGAAAGTTCTACTCAATAGAGAGAGATAGACAAATAGAGAGAGAGAGAGAGAGAGAGAGAGAGAGAGGAAAACAGTTTACAAAGCAGTCATACTTATAACAATGAGAAGAATCTGCTCTAGGATGTCAATCTTCACTCCTAGGGATGCAATGTTGGCTTCAATGGTGAGTAATCCACTCCAAATAGCTCCTAGGGTTTGTTCTTAGCACTTTATGTCTCTAGAACTCTGTTTT